AAAATGCACGAAGAAGTGCTGACATCGGTGTCAGAGATCGACAAAACGCGTAAACTGTACTTCGATGACGAGCATATGGCACGACAGGCCAGGGATAAGGAGGAAAAGTAGGCTTTTATGAACTGTTCCAGTCTTCAGTGTCTCTAATGGTGACATTTGTGTCCAATGAATAGGATTAAGAAACAAAAGGGCGGTATCTTCTCGTCGTTAGCGAAGTTGCAGACAAAGAAAGACAAAACTTCGGCACAAAGAGAGGCATCCGATATACAGTCGACTCAAGTATTTGACTATTTTTGCCTTAAATTGAAGACTAAAATCTTAAATAAAATTGTCTTTCAATTGACTGTTAGGCGCGAAACGACTATTTAATGGCATTAGTCGCAGGAAATGCTCATTTGGATCATTATTATACTCTGGATATACCACAACTCACGCATAACATCGATGACGATGTTCTCGACAAATGCAGAGGTTTTGATCACTTATTTTGTGTTCAATGTCTTTCAATTTCTTTAATAATTAGACAACATTTTCAAATAACACTAACATTGCTAACTAACATACCTCTTGTCTTAACATGAAATTACATTAGGATTTATGCTATCATTACTTGAAAGCGAATTAAACGCCATTCAAGTGACGAACCAGTCTTTAGACAGTGCTTACCGTTTGGTTGAATCCACTTCTGCTGATTTCACAAACAAAGCTTGCATCAAAAGACCCGAGTTGTCATCGGATCCATTGTTTCGCAACTCTTCGACCGCTTTCTTCAACAGTTGCCGGCATTTGTCGACCGACTGTTCAAAGCGATCGGTTCTGACGCTCTTAATGGCCGGCAAATGACCGGACACTCGGGCCTCGAGTTCAGTGAAACAGTTCTCAAAACTTCTGCTGAATTCAATCAAATCGGTGTTTGATTTGCGGAAATAATCGCCAAAACCTGTTATAAGACTCAATCTTATGGTGAAGGCCTTCATGTAGTTTCCGAGAGGAATGTGCTGTCGATCGGGAAGTGTCGACCACTTGAGGATCAACTCTTCGACCATATCATGGATCACATGGCGCTGACTATCCATTGAGTTCTTGTCAAACATTTGTGTCCAAAGAGTGCGTTGTCTTCGGAAGTCGTGTTTCGTCGCAAATAAGACACTCTTTGGGCCCAAAAACGGCTCAAACACTTCATTCACTTCTCGCGGCTTTTCTGTCAAATAGTCCAACGTTTTGATGAGTTCTTCGGTGCGGATACTGACTGCGAGTGTGGGTCCGAAGAGCCAGAAGGAGGCAATGGATCCAAACTTGTGGTGCAGTCCTGTGAGGAAGTGGTGGAAACTGTGGGCCCGTATAATGTCGGCCGCATTGCCCTCCTGAGGATGACTCGGGTCTAAGCCATCGATTGTGGTGTGTCTTCGAGATCCGGGATATAAGTAAATGACAGCAGATATGAGGGCCACGAGGAAAGTGACCGCAAAGATCACAAAATCCAACATTTCTTTGGTTCACACATCCATGCAATCAGTCTATCAGTCATTGCATTCAACACTCATTCAACTGCTCAACAGATGACTCCCTATTCATATCCATATGACTTGATTCGAGATTCTTTAGTCCAGAATATTCTGTATTCAGTCTTAAAACTTGTTTCTATGAATTGTGTTAATTTCACAATATGTCTATTGATTATAATAAACCCATAAATTGTATAATACGTTAGAAATATTGCAAAATTGAAAGCAATATTCAATTGAATTAAATAAGTCTTATTAGAAATATGTTATACAGGTATCAACAGTATATCATACGATAAATTATTATTGCATACATTTATTATAACTTATTTTATGTTTCTATATAATTTTTAAATATACAAAATGATTAATTTTTAATGTTTAATGATTTTATAAAAATTATTTAAAGTTTTATAATAACTTCACATTTAATATCACATTACAAGTTTCAAAAACACATTACATGTTTATTTTTATACCCCTATTTTATAATTCGTATAGCCTTAATACATTATAATGAATTATATCAATTTTAATGTTTTTATCTATATTTAGGAAAAATTATCTAAACATAACTACTATTGCTATAATTATGTCAATTAATTATAACAACTAGTGATTGATTTATTGGTAACAAGAATAAGCCTTTTATACAAATAATCAATAATATATTAATTCTATTCACATATGAAATGAAAGTTAATTACAACCAGTACTTGAACTTTGCTTTGTTTGTGAATTATATAATATTATTGTTATCTATTAATCATTAATGGTGTGAATATTTGTCTTCAAATAAATTATTCATTGATAGCTATGGTATGATAGTAGGCATAGTAACCCATTGCCAGTCTATGATTAAAGCACTCACGGAAATGACTATTTTGTTAAACATTGCCATTAATACGGAGAAACGTTTCATATTTTCATTACTAATTGTTTTTTTTGTTCAAAAATTGTTTGCGTTTTCAAACAAATGTCCAAAAAGTTAACCAAAGAAGATATCGGACAGCCGTTTGACTTCAGACACGTTCAGCACATCGGATGGAATCCGTTGACCGGTTATGAGACCGAAAACGTTGACCCAAACTTAAAACGATTCCTCAATGAGACCAAGGATAATATCACCGGAGATACCATTTTCTATTACATCGAGAAAGACACCGAATTTGAAGAAATATTCACTGACAGACAGACACAAGAAATGACAGATTCTGTTGCAGTGCCCTCACAGTCAGCTGAAACCCCGTCCCCATCGACTCCTTCCACATCAGTGTCTGTGTCCTCAGATGATTGTTCACCACAACCACTGGAACCACTGGTTATATCGTTAGATACGCCAAAAACTCCAACACCTCCTCCTAGAAGGCGTCGCTCTAAACAAACACCTCCTGTCATAACAACCCCAACTCCAACACCACCTCTGCCCCCATCGGAGGTGACCACAGCACCGAAACCTATGCCACGGCTCAGTCTTATGAAGGCACCCGTCAGTGATGACAAGAGTGATGACAACAGTGCTAACGAATTGATATTTTAATTGTTTTTATTTATATTTGTTTTTATTTCTTAATTTGTAATTACAGTTAACATAATGTTATTGAAACCTAAACTTAAATTATAGCTTACATTGGAATTCATTTTTATTTTTTAAGTTTGAATATTCAATTAAAACTAATTCAAAAAATATACCAACAAATCTGTGTTTAAATTAAATTATTATTAAACACAACAACTATTAATTGCATTAAATTATTTTAAACATTTCAGTGCTTTTTTTATAATGATAATAGAGTAAATATTTGAATTAAATTAAATATACGACACAATTATTAGCACTCAATTACTTTAAATATATTTCAAAAATAAATTATTTCTAAACTTAATTAAAACAATGTTTAAAGTATTCATTTGGTTGTAACATTGAGTTTATATTAATTTAATTATTATTTATACAGTATTATTATACTTTTGTGGTTATTTGCTATTCATAGGATATATAAGTTTTCAATTCAAACAAAAAAAGTGATATATTTTCAAATAAATATTTAACAAATTAATTTACCAGTAATTCAGGTTTCAAATGATATATCACTAAGAGAGTATACTATATTGTGATTTTGAGCTGAGATCTAAATTTAATAGCCGTATAAACTGATAAGTTGTTACCGTATTATAATTAATGATATTTTGATAAACAGCTCACAAATTAGTTTTGAATTATATTTCGTTTGAACACTTAATGAGGACGTAATCACTAACTTAAGAGTTAAGGCTTTGGCGGAGTCTATACTCAATTAATCAGTGCTTAGGTCTAAAATTGAAGGTTTGGTATCTCATTATGTTTGACTAGAGTTTCAATTATCACTAGTTATCAGACCTAACGTTGAGATCAAAAGTGATTGGCAAAGAATAAATCATTATAAAACAATTATAAATATTATACAAAACAATAAACAAAACTAATTAAATAACTTATAAACTTAAAAAATAAATTCAATTTAAATAAAATAAACTCAAACTCATTGATGTGTTCATTATATGAAAAAATTTGATTCAATAAATAGATATTATATTTTTGTATAATATATTCAATATGTAGTCAACATTGAAAATATAAGAGATAACAATAGGGTATAAATAAAAAATAAATAAAACATATCAGTTATCAATGAGATTAGATTTCTCCGTTCATTTGATGTCTTCGTAATCGGAGTCTTCATTAGAATAGTTTTGATGATTCACATCATTATTATTACCGGTACTATAGTTACCATTATTACCGTTTTGGACATAGTTTTCCTGATTGTATTGATTGGCCGTTTGTATTGCTTCCAGTGTTATTGCTTCCGATATCTCTCTGGCAGTCGCCTCAATCTCCTCGGCATCCATATCCACACTAATGGTTACCCCAACCGCTGTTACGATCGAATTCTGGTCCGAGCTTTCATCGGAATTATTCTCATCTTTGACATTGTCTTCGTTGGTCTGCAATTCATAGCAAATGATAATTAATTATCAAATAACAAAATTAATACAAATTCTGTTACCGTTTCTGAATTCTCTGTTTGATAGCAATCAATGATAAGAATTCAATTAATTGGTTAATCAAATGCGTTAATATACGGTAGAGTGTAATCAGAGATAATACACACCTTCAGATGAGGGCTTTGGAATGGGTTTATCTAATGTAAACTCCGGATTCACTACAATCTCTACGACTGCTTCTGGAATAGTCTCCTCCTCTGGAATCTCTTCAGTCACGTCTCGATTGTTGTCAACCCCTTCGTCATCGTCTCCAAGCGATGGCTTCGACTCGATCTCAGGCGTCGGCTGAATGATCACCACTTGATGTGGTGTCAGATGAATAGGCTTTGGCGGTGCGAATGATGGCGGCGGAGCTACCGGTGTGGTCGGCGACTCAATCGACTCGGCTTCCGATTCGCCGCTAATTGATTCTAAAGCACAGCAAACCATAAATACATGAATAACAGATAGAAAGTCAATCCAAATACCAGCAAAAGCTCCAGAATCTCGATCATCGGAGAGCTCTTCGACGAGCATCGATGGGAAGTGTCCGACCACTCCGTCCTTTTCTGCTGTCCACCAGCCGTCGTCTGATTTGTTCAACAGTTTCAATATATCGCCTAAAAATTATTCAATAAAACATTTTAATATGTTTTAATTCAAACTTTCAGTTCAATTGCTGGACAAACCTTCGCTGAAAGACATCTCTTCCTCGGAAGTGGCGGTATATCCATAGATAGCTCTGACAAAGCTGTCGGCCGACTGAGCCCTGTGGGCGCCTTCGCTTGACAATTGAAGCTCAGCTGTGATTGGAATGTCGTTCACAATCCCGTTGTCAGTATTGGGTTCTTCAGTTGGTATGGCGTCCTGAGGAGCATCTCCAATGGGCATCAAATAAGCCGCCGGAACGTAACCAATCATATCTGACATACAATAAACAGTTAGTAAATAATGTCAATCAAACGGTACAAACAGATGAATACATCTATCGTTCTGTGCTTTCACCCAATCCTGGTCCAGGGCTTCCAAAACTGTCAGATTCTCGTTCTCAAGAAAACTCAAGTCATCCTGATTTTGGGATTCGTATGGATATAATGTCTGGCATATTTTGCCCACAAGTAAAGTCCTGATTGCGAATAAAATCTCATTAAATAACAGTAATTACTAAAACAAATCTAAATACAAACCCTTCGAGTGGTGTATAACTGGTTTCAGGGGCAGCTTCATAACCTTCAGTGGCTGCCGTCTCATCGACCGGAGCCGCCGTCTCGTCCTCCCAGGCGGGTTGGGTGGGGTCGTAATCGGCCCAACCCTGGGACTGTTGCGCGTCGAACGATGAAGTGCTGTATTTGGGTTGAGTATCGTAGGAGGAAGTGCTGTGTTTATGTTCCGGTGATTCTAATTGTTCAGAACTCGACGATTCCGGACGACCCGATCGGCCAGAATTCAGGTCCGGTTCCGGTGTCTGGTAGTGATCGGTGTCTGTTTCCCGGTCATCGGAACGACTGTAACATAATTTGCAATTACCGTCAAATTTATTATCAGAAAAAAGGTCTCCATTTTAACTGACTTTCCGTCGAGCGATGATATGCGTCCGCCATCGCTATAAGTGCTTATATTAGTGCTCCGAAGACTAGGGGTACGGCTCAGTGGAACTCCAATACCAATGTCCACATCCAGTGATAACGACTGCTGTTTTATTTCAGTAGTTATTTGGGATTCAAAGTTCTCAAAGTCCTCCATTTCAATACCGCCTGTAATCAAACATTTACCGTACGTTCAAATGTCTGATAATTGCTTAGGATCTATGGACAGACCTTTTTTGATGATCTCAAGCCTTGCCTTAGCTTTTAGTTTACTGATTTCGCATTTGCGGATCTGTTGCTTAATATCGTCGATTCGGTTCTCGATATCAACGGGAGAGCTCTGACCCGACACCTCAACAGTCTTTTCAATAAATAATCCCAATAAATATGGTCCCATTCTTGTCGTCATATCATTACAAACCTTATGTCCTTCGGCTAACAGCGCCTGACATTTAATAAGTTGTGCCGAAAGTCTATTCAAATTACGGCACTCTTTCGAGAACCACGTGAACCACTTCTGGACCTCATTTCTGAGGGCAATGTCTGCGTTGTGGTCGAGGGATATCACATCTATGGTGTCGTTATCGCAGCGATCGAACTCATATAACAGAAGTTCACTGTTTTCAGAAAACAATTACTTTTAAAACTTTGATATCAATTATAAGAACTCAAAGAATTAGTAAATAAATGAAACAAATAAATGGAAAACAGAGTTATAAAAGTGAGTAATGACCGCAAACTCGCAGACTGTGGATCAGACAGATATGCTTTGTTTGTGAAATCAGCAGAAGTGGATTCAACCAAACGGTAAGCACTGTCTAAAGACTGGTTCGTCACTTGAATGGCGTTTAATTCGCTTTCAAGTAATGATAGCATAAATCCTAATGTAATTTAATGTTAAGACAAGAGGTATGTTAGTTAGCAATGTTAGTGTTATTTGAAAAAGTTGTCTAATTATTAAGGAAATTGAAAGACATTGAACACAAAATAAGTGATCAAAACCTCTGCATTTGTCGAGAACATCGTCATCGATGCTATGCGTGAGTTGTGGTATATCCAGAGTATAATAATGATCCAAATGAGCATTTCCTGCGGCTAATGCCATTAAATAGTCGTTTCGCGCCTAACAGTCAATTCAAACACAATTTTATTTAAGATTTTAGTCTTCAATTTAAGGCAAAAATAGTCAAATACTTGAGTCGACTGTATATCGGATGCCTCTCTTTGTGCGGAAGTCTTGTCTTTCTTTGTCTGCAACTTCGCTAACGACGAGAAGATACCGCCCTTTTGTTTCTTAATCCTATTCATTGCACACAAATGTCACCATTAGAGACACTGAAGACTGCAACAGTTCATAAAAGCCTACTTTTCCTCCTTATCCCTGGCCTGTCGTGCCATATGCTCGTCATCGAAGTACAGTTTACGCGTTTTGTCGATCTCTGACACCGATGTCAGCACTTCTTCGTGCATTTTCCTGCAAACACATCCACACAATCACATCATTCATAAACATATCAATGGATGCAATAAATCAATAAAAATATGTGTCAAGTGGTGAAACACATACTTCAAGTGCTGATCGATGGACTTCTTGGAGATCTGCAACTTTCTGGTCTTAATTTGCTTCAGAAGATCGCATATTTGTACCAATTGTTCAAATTGTGTCAAACGGTTCTTCGCTGACTTATCCGTCTCCTCCAGATATGTCTTCCATGAGGTGTACAGAGATCTATGGATTAAGACAATCAGAGATGAGATAATCGATGTCCACATCAGTGGCAGACAAACACTGGATGTCTTACTTGACTTGCGAGTCGTTCTCGGCCTCGAGGGTCGGATACTTCTTGTGGGACTGAGTGTTGACTAATTTAATCATTTGATTGCAATAATCCTTTTCGATGTTACACTTGGTTTTGATGAAAGCCTTCAAGTCGTCGATGAGCTCCACATCCAATGAATGTTTGCCCTGAAGTCGAGCCGTCTGTTCATTGAGAGTGGACTTCGCGGTCGCCACTAATCCCGACTTTCCGTAAACAGATCCCACTCTAATCGGCGAAGAAGTGACCGACGATGACATGATTATGGATTACTTGTGGTAGCGATCGGTCTTTATCTCATAATTTGTGGCAAACAATCAATTCGTTGATAAATAAGAGTCTTCTCAGAAGTGGTGATCCGATCACTCAATGGATCACTTGTTTTGAGTATTTGTTTACAGATTTCTGTCATTCATTCAAAACATCAAAACAATCAAAACCTTTGAGACCTTGACTTCAATCGATAGAGACGTTTGCCATTCAATTGACGGGAAACTTATTTTCCCGACTCTTACCCTAAACTCATAATAACTTGTCATATATTTTCACAATTATTTTATTACTACTAAAATGTAGTTTTCTTAATGTATTACACAATTAATTGATTGATTTAAATTTGTTATAAGCATTGATTGAAACAATTCATATGACACAAAGTGTGGCAAACATTATAGGCCTCAGAGACCTATAGTCAGTGTTTGGCATTTGATTGGAGGAGGAGTTAAAGGGCTTTCAATTGGATTATTGATTGAATGTGTTTTGCAAACCAAGTCTTCATTTATTCATTATTTAAGACTTTTCATCACATTTTGTAATCACTTTTTGGTCCTAATATTGCGGAACAATGTCTCGACAGACCCAGAAGAATGTGGAGTCCAAGAACAAAGTGGTAATTGACTGATTGGTCACCAATTGTCTCAATGATTGTCACACTTATTGTAATCACGTTTTGATTGTCTTTACGCGAAAAGAGTTGCGATTTATTTACTCTCACTTATGGCTCACTTGTGGCACAACTCATCAAAGACTACGACACCACCGAAGACGTGAACAAACAATTGGACAGAATGTATGCCAACCACTGATTGACGCGATGACCACTCTTTTCATTGTCTCCTTCGGTGTCTTCAGGGGTTATAACATAGGCTTACGACTAGTGGAGGACTTTCTGGCGAAAACCAATTCGAGTCGATGTCATGACATGAAAGAGACGGCCGATAAGATACAGTCGGCCTTCAAGATGTATTTGGGTATCAGTCCATCGGTGGCCAACTGGTCCGCAGCCAACGACGAGTTCTCACTACTCATTGACAGCAACCCTCTCACCGAATACGTGGAACTGCCCGACCATATGAGTCAACTCAAGTACTCCAACATATTGCCCGGTGTTATCAGGGGTGCCCTCGAAATGGTAATGTGTTTTCCATTTCAATAACAAGTACACTGTTGTTGAATTATTGGATCCATTTGTGGTGATCTATAGGTGCAGATCGAGGTGCAGGTGTGGTTCGTTCAGGACTGCCTTAAGGGCGACTCCACCACTGAATTGAGAATCAAATTTATCCGCAAATTAGAGGACGCCTTACCCGCCGGTGAAGACTAACTCCATTTCCATTCATATGAAAAAAGATCTTTAATTTTTATATTAAAATTTGTTTTTTAATTTAAATTAAAATAATTCGCTAAGAATTGGTTCGATATTTAAGATATCATTGAATAAATAAAATAAAATCAATTTTGTTATATACCTGTAATAAAAACATAAATTCTAAAATCAAATAAACTTTAAAATAGTTTTTATGAATTGCAAACATTTTGCGATTATTAGTGACAATGTAATCAAACAAATGTTTGAAAATAGAGGTTACGATTAAAATTATAGTCTACAAACACATATATAAATTAATTGTATACAAAATATTGAGTGAAGTGTTTTCCGGTAAAACAAAGTAGAGTTGATTTGATTGATTCACAAATATATTGATTGCAGTTTTCATATCAAACTACAGTATACGACGGATTATACGGTATATTAATTTCATTGCGAAATACCGGTATATTGTGCTGTTTTGCATTACAGTAAAACAAATAACTTCTTACGGTAATCATAATTATCACAAATGAAATTCATAAAAATTAAACTTAAAATTTGGTTACACTTTGTATTTTGTTGTTTGTAAGAGTTTTGTTATAAAATCTGATTTAAACATTAAATTTAATATACAGTATTTGGATTCAATTTATTGAAACAAAACAAACGTATGGTTTGGGGTTTGAGTTACCGATCACTGCACTCCTGTTCAGTGACCAGATTTCGAGCAGATTTCCAGTTAATGTACTCTTCTTTGTATGGTTTCAATGGAATGACGAAAACACTGATGTCATCGATGGTCGCCGTCTTATTGTCCGCTGTCTTCCAACCCCTTCCCCTCTCGCGTGACTTTCCCCTGGAATGCATCACTAAGTCTTGTGCGGCGGATATGTATCGGTATTTGTATCGCTGAACATCGTTTGCAGGGAAGACATCCAATGACTTTTGTATGACATCGGCTGCGCTCTCATTGGTCGTGATGTCCCACAAGCCATCGGTTCCGATCACCAGAACGTCTCCATCAGTGATATTCTCATCGTTTTCCACATCATAAATGCGAACCTTTAGTGTAAATAAAATATTAGTTATCTTACGCTACAATAAATTGATTACAAATGAGTGACTCAATCAATACCTCCGGCTGTGCCGTCAGGAATGGTTTGATGTCGACGTCACTGTTTTGGGCCTTTAATTCGTGGTCACCGAAGCCTCGCGTCACTCCTATCGTAGCCAACACTCGGCTCTAATGAAATCAAATTCAATAATAAATTACAATTCAAATACTAAAACACATTTCGTTCAAACACTCACTCGTTTTCCTTCGCCATAAATGAGCGGAAACTTAAGGTCTTCGATAGTAATCGTCTTATAAGACCTGAGAATTGAAAAATGCAATTTAAAACATAAAGGTTTGCCAATGAATTGTTTGGCATACCATCCGGTCATAAAGGCGTCTCTGTAGAGCAACTTCTTTCCCAAATCTCTTCGGGCAGGTCTGCGAACAAACTCTAAATGCGTGAAATCGTTTCCAAGCAGTTCCGGCTTTAGGAGACCCTATAGTTTGCACCAAAATAATACATTCAATTAACCATCAAAACTACGGTAAATTAAATGAAAACTTTTTGTACCAAATATTTAATGCGTTCCCTCTCTGACTCTGGTGTGAAGTCAAATGACATGGGAATCACATCATTACCCTTACATATGATTGCTCTGAAATCATATACAATTTGTTAGCAAAACAAATGAGACATAATTTACAAAATAATGTAATACCTGCTGTCGCCAGCGTTAGCCACGTATAGTTTGCCTAAAATAAATACACCGATACAAGCAGTACAACCGCCAGACATACGATAAACCCGTTTGTCTTTGGCGATCATAGTATCCATTTGCCAAAAGGCCGACTCGAGAGCACCGGTTATTAGATTGTCAACTGTTATCATCTTATCAGTCGATGGATGGAATAGTAATGCAATGTTATCTCTGTCCAAATGGTTGTCCTGATTGATGACAACACTTCCGTTCAATAGCTTCGACTCCAAATCGTTTCCATTGCCTGCACTCGACTCTCCATTGCTATTATCATCACTATTGAGACCGAATCTGATTAAGAGATCAGCGATTGATTGCAGCTTTTCTTCGATTATCTTATGTAAAGTGTTGGAGACGGCGACCGCAACGCCCGACCCTTTCATACAAAACAAACACTCTTTTAATAACATAAATTCATATGACTTGACAATGAGGTGACTGACCCGCGTGTCCGTCAAACACAGCGAAGTAAAGCCATGGAAGCGACTCTTCTTTGTTGGACTTAACAGTCCTTTGCGGTGATGTTTCGGGTGTGGTATACGCCGACTCCACGGTCTCTGCGGCCGCTTCTGACAGACGTATTTCCAGAGGAATGGGAGTCGTCGGTGACATCAAGTCATCCAAATTGGGTCCGACTGTTGACTCGGTTAAAGGCAGTGCTTGTGTATCACCGGTTGTGACCGACTCTTTGGTTGTGGTATTCGAAGACTGTTCCTCACCTTCAGTGCCGTTCACTTGTTTCGCGTCATTCTTATTATCACTTTTCTCTTGGGAACCGTTCTGTTCATTAGTTTCAATGGGTTTTTCGGAAGCCTTTTGAGGGAAAACTCTTTTGGCGCCGACGGGTATCTGATGCGGATATCCCGGAACCGTTGGCATCATATCCGACACTTTACTCGTTATACTCTCATCGATAATATAGGCCCTAAGAGTGGACCGATAGACACACGCGTGGTCTTCGTTGCGCACACTTTTACCCGCATTTATGGTTCTGTCAGACAATGGGAGACAACAAGAGATCAATTAGTACTCAAACGCCACAACAACTGATCCAATGGTGACATACTCTGCATAACCGGAATTGAACGGAAGTTTAGTGATATCTCGCGGCACTATAATGGGCTACAGAGGTATGAATGAGACAAATAAATGAGACAATTGGTGGTCAAAGCAGGTGGTGAAGGCATACCCGCATGATATGGTCGGCCGACACCTGAATCTCATCGTCGGACTGGAGTAACAGGAACTCCGGTCGCGTGTATCGAAACTTGAGGTTCTGTTGCGACGGATCCGACGACTGACTCCTGTGGTGCTGATGATGGTGTCCATCGCCCGCACCTCCCGTTCCCGTCGCGCCGTTCGTGAGCCCCGGGTTGGCCTCCAAATTGTTGATCACATTATTGAAAGCGCTTTTGAATCGGTTTAACATATTATAAGTGATAATGCATTCAATCGGTGGTAGACTTAATCGGTGGTAGACTTGTGATGACTCGTAGTCTTTGATTACAATCACTGAATGAGTGGAAAATATTTGAACTCTTATTTCGATATGAAAAGTGATTTGAAAATAGTTTTGTTACGAAAAACATGTGATTTGTAGTGAAAATAATTGTCGCTTCAAATGAAAACAAACAATTGTCTCGTATATAGCGATAAGTGATTACAAGTGATTACAACTGATTATAACGACTGCAACAACACTTGCGATGATTGTGGCGATCATTGGATGCATTCACAAGCGATCTGTGGTTTGGAAACACATTTCCAGTCAATTGGCGTCCAATTGAACACTCATTTCAATGCAAACAGCGATTGCTTTGTAAACAAATGACTACTCAATCGATGACGTCATCAGTCAATCCACTCACTCAGTGGTCAATGCATTGCAAACACCACTCAATTGAGTGTAAAACACATTTCAAATACCATTTCAAAGCCGTTTGTAATTAGTTTGAGTGAAAACTTGTGTCAAAACTGTTGTTAAAAGTAATTAAAAGTAATTTAAATGAATTATGTGTTGTGTTTGAGATGAGCGACCCGTAGACACCTCTACGCGCGAAACCATATGTCAAGAAATGGGCGTTAATTTGAACGCCAATTGAGTTAAGCGTTGATTGCATTGAATGTTATAAACAATTAATTATTGATATGTTTTGCACTTTAAATGATAAACCAATGAACGAGTGATTGAACTCCGGATGCAAATCATTCAATGATAAGTCGATTGAATCGATGTGTTTGTGTCAGTGAACAGCAGTTTTGTGGCAAACATATCACCCATTGATCGCTCATTTCAATGAAAACTAATTTGTTTTGATTTCTAGTCTTTTAATACACTTTTTATTCACATTTTAATTATTGTTTTGTTTTTAAGTTTGAATTTTATTTTAAATACAATTTCTATTATTTTTGAAACCATTTTGTGATAAATACGAGTGACTTCTTGTAAACCAAATGCAAATGATGTCCAAAAGTGATGACCCAAAGGGTGTGGAAGCGAACGGTGCGGACGACCAGACGGCACAACTGCTGGACGGCCGGCCACCCGATGAGCTCAAGAACTGGATGACCAATATATCGGTGACACTGCAAGACATACCCATCTGGAGGCTAACCATTCCTGGTATTAACCATTCACTGAATGCGTGGACTTAATGCTAATCTCATTGATGTGTGGTTTGTCTGATGGCTCATAGGATCGCACGATTCGGGCGCTTATGGTCTGTCTGTGGACTTAGGTGTGTCTCCCGATCGACCGGATCTCCAGAACTCATTGTGGGTCCGACTCTTCCATTGCTTCGCTTTGCCGACAATCCATCGCTGGACTAAAACCCAATCCCTGGACGTGACGAAGCAATTGAATGCCGGCATCCGTTACATCGACTTCAGAATCGCTTCCAGAATAGCCGACGACAACCTCTACTTCTGTCACGGATTATACGGACCCGAAGTGAGCGAAATGTTGGACCAAATCAACGCATTCCTGCAACAAAACCAAAGAGAAATCGTTTTTCTCGATTTCCAACACTTTTACAGTCTTTCAGACGCCGATCACAAACAGCTGATCGCGAAGATTATCCATACGTTCGGCCGACGACTAGTTCCCTACTCTTCGCAGCTATTGATGGATAAGATAACGCTTAAGTACTTATGGGACAAACGGATGCAAGTGTTTGTCTATTACCGCAACGAAAGCGCACGACTAGAGTCGCACGTCTTATGGCCGTCTCGGTGTCTGCCCAACCCGTGGGCCAACACAATGAGTAGAGAGAAGTTGACTCACTTTTTGGACAAAGAGATTGCCGGCCGACCACTCAATAGTATGTTCGTAACGCAGGGCATACTGACGCCCAGTAACCGATACGTTGGATTTCATTTCTATTCATCCCTGCGCTACGATTTGGCCGATATCTGCAACAATTGTATCACTAAATGGCTCGACGATCAAAGCGCCGGCAATAAAGGGCCTAATATTGTAATGTCTGACTTCATAGAGTGGAATAACTATGAGATACCCATTAAGACGATTAGACTCAATGATAAATTAGCATTCAATGCAAAACAGTAATGTTTTTAAATAATATTTCAATTTATTGGTGTCTTTTCAATCATATTCATTGCAAAAACATTTATTTCTATCTCTATAATAGTGTATAACTTTTTTTGGTAATACATAATATAATATAATAATAAAAATCATTTCATATAAAAACTAATAACTATTATATATAGTTTTAAATAAAATTCTATATCAAAAAATTTAATATAAAAACTCATTTTTATGTCACTTCTATACAATGACTAAACAATCATTTTTATATAAAAAACACTTTTTTGGACATAACTATCAAAAAGTCGTTGGAAATGCTAACTCGTTATCTCTGAATGCGATAAAAATGTGTTTTAATGGGAAATAATATAGAAAAATGAGAACAATTGGTAGAAATATAAGGCAAAGGTGTGAATGTCGGGAAACAACACAAACTATTTAAATAACACATAAATTATCTCAGATCTAAGCGATTAGAAAATTGGATGTAATGTATAGTAATGTTCTAATTATTGTTTGATAAGCTTATAAAAAATATTTATAGTATAATCATACCTAATATTTTCGCAAACATAACTTATCAGAGATAACTTATAAAAAAAGTTAACACACATTTCAAACGGACTTTTTGTATCCAGTATTTACAGTAACTATAATACCAATGGTTTGTTATAAAACAAACAAAAACTAATAAATATATAAAAATTTATGGCACTATTGATATGATGACAACAAATGCCTTCAAATGAGATGAATGAGTGTCTATACAAGTGTTGCGTTTTGTTTGGATGTGTTGGTGCGGTTGTGTGGGTCGGTGTCGCGGTCGTCATACCAGGCCATGAGCTCATTGGTGAAGGAGTCGGACACAATCATCTGTCCCTTCAGCGAGTCGTTCAATAAACTAGAATTCGGTGATTGACACGAATTGACACTCACTTCGGGACCCATAGGTCTACCACTGGGTGACAGCGCCACCGACGCGCGCGATGATTGGCCAGCGTTGTGGTGATGAACAGGAGATGTCATGTTTGGCACCGGTGTTGATGTTGTTTGCTGTGAACTGCGATGTTTTTGGCTGTATTTGTAGAAGTCCTCCAACTCGAAGGGCTTCTCTTCTTCCCAATAGGGCTGGAAGTGTCCGACACTGACAACAGTCACTTCGACTCCATTACCCGATGGTATGGTCGGAGACATTGGTATCGCCGGTGGTTTGGATGCACTGTCACCGTTGATGGACTTATTGATGGATGCGATGGAATTCCTGTTCACATTCACTGTGGACGAGATGTGCAATGGTATGGGTGTTGGTGCCGGTGATGCGAGTGGTGGTGTTGGTGTTGGCAATGATTGCGGTGGTGATGGTGTGGCTGATGATAATGCTCTAGGAGTTTGAGGTGCGGATGCATTTGGCGCCATATTAACCACATTAACGTACAATTCTTTGGCCGATTCGTGATTCGCTATACTATTAGCATTTCGTCCGTTAATGGCTTTCGATGGGTTTGAGTGCAATGTTTGTAAAATTGTTTGTTTGGTCTCAGAGTTGGCCGGCAATACAAAGTCGAGCGAAGTCTCTGTCCATGTCTTTGACGTTTTGGGCGCCGGCGGAGGGAATGGTTGGTCGTTCTTGACATGAGATTTATGGGTCGGCATTGAATTCATTGCAGACTTGGATGGCGTGACTGAACGCGGACTCATTGGAGTCTGATTTTCACTCCTCATAACAATTGGTTCTTCAAAATTAAATAATGTTTTTTGAATTGTTTTATGATTTCTGTGTTGAGGCATAAGTGAGGTGTCGATGGCATCCAAACAAATGGTTTGAGGACTAATGCATTTGTTGGTCTCACAGTACATACGACTGTCACAGGGATTCACGAGTGGGGAACTAATTGGCGGCAGATATTTAGGTGATAGACATTCATTGGTGGGGATCGTCGGCAGTGGTCTCTGTGCCAAATGAGTTGATGTGAGGCATGGACTCATTGGTGGACCCATTTCTGGTGTTTCTGTTCGGCTCACTCTGTAGGACGGGTAGTGATTGCGATAATGAATGTGATGTGAATCATATGAGGGACTGTTAGGGTTGGGGTAGCCTTCAGCCGATCCCTGAGAGGACGTCCGCCTCCTCTGACTGTTGTCTAAACTGTTACTTCTGTTCAATTGACTCGTTTTGTTCTCGTTTTGCAATTCTCTGTGATTTTTATTGACAACAACGACCGACTCTTTGGGCGCATTCACGGCTTGTCTGAGTTGTGTGTCGTCCTGACTCTTAATGGCAATAGAGGTCCGTCTGTTGGGAACACTGTATAGATTGGAGCTCTCATTCAAATGGATGGACGTCTCGTATTTGTTCACATAAGGAGACAACAAGTGTTTCGACTTTTGTTCGCCGATATATATGACACTAGCATTGGTTCCGCCACTACTACTGCCGGCAGAGCTCGCGTTATCGGCGAAGTCTGTGTTCAGATTCTTAAGCATTTCATTGGACTCCTCGTCGGTGTCGTAATCAAATGTGGGCTCAGATTTGGCGGCCGCAGAACGAGGCCTTTGTATCACTTGAACCCTATTGACCAGTGATGTGACCGATGGGGACAGGGGTCTGACTCGGGAGCCGTGGTTCTCATTAAACTTGTTGGGCGTCCCGGGAACGGACGACGAGTAAAGACTGGCACTTCTCTTCATGAGAATCTGTTTGTGATTCCTTTCGGTCACAAAAAACTTATTCAAACTATTTTCGCACTTTTCTTGGGACTCGTCTGTCGAGTGACTGATATTATCTTCGCTCAGATCTTCAGTCGACTGATTGCGTCGAGATTTGGCCAGTTTTGAAGCGGCGATTTGGCGCCGGACGACCATCAGCCGGCCCTCCAAGTCCTTCAGTTTAGCCAACGACTGCTGGTACGCCTGTTTCCGCTGTTTTCGGACATTTTTCTTGGGGTTCACGTCTTTGGCCAGTTTGGAGGCGGCGCTCACTATCTTGCTTTGGATCTCAAACTCCAGCTCCAGCTTCGATAGGATCTCTTCCTCCTTCGTCTTTGGCTTCAGCAGCAGCTTATCATTGAGTGTGAAGGCTGTCCCCACTCTTCGCCTGATTTGAGGCATCGGTTCGTTGGCATTGAGTGGTGTTTCGGGCGGCAGTTCTCCCGTCAACTCCTGAGAGACAGACAGACAATCATTAGTCAAATTGGAAATCACATGAAAGCCATAATTCACGTGAGAATAAGTTAATGAAAATACAACAACAAAAAAAAGATAACTAATAAATAAGTGACATATCATTTACCCCTTCCTTAAGGCACAGGGCTTTCAGTTCCGCCAACTTCTTATTCATGGCCTCTTCGAGCGCCTCTTTTCTCACTTTCAACGTCTCAAACATTTCCTTCTCTTTGACGGCTTTATTGCTCTCCAATTGTGTCAGCGTTTCGTCTTCTATGCGAAGAGTCGGCAAACTATGAGCGCTAAGACTTCTCCGACTAGTCGTCAAACTATTAGCCCTCGAAGACTCGGTCGACGATACGGTACTCGAGTTGAGTTCGGACGCGATCTGCTCTACAGTTCGCGGAGATGTCAAACAACTCTATAATAATGGATAAGCCATAAGACATAGCAAAAACAAGGCGTTAATCGAGATTCAGCACAAAAATAGCACTAAAACAACACATTAAGAGTGAAGACAAATAAATAAATACTTTGTGTGAATTGCGTCTATCGATGTAGAATTGGTGCTGTGCTATAGCCATAGACCAAATGCATTTGGTTAGGACAGCACTGGCAGCGAACCAGACATAGACCGTCACATTGCACGGACCAAAGGTACGCCTACTCACTGACACTCTGGAGGTTGTGGTCATCCGAGGCGGCAGATAATGCAAGACAGAGACACGCAATCAGTAACAGTATTCAAACAATTATAATACAATGTGTGCACACATTGAAACGGTTATACAAGTTATTTGTTAAATGCGTTAAAGTTAGTCAAAAAGTAAACTTATAATCAAAAGTGAAATGCAAACCAATTTTCTACACAAGTATTTGTTAGAAGTAGTTATGGTTGAGATGTTATGTCATTACAATCTACAGACGAATGACTTTTCTAGAGACCGATTGGTGTCTAAGATTCAAGACATGCAAACATGCGTTACCGATAGGAGATGCGAGAGAAGGGATGACACATGCATAGAAACAGGGAGGCAGAGGAATGACGGCTCCGTAATGGATGATTGGGTGCACTTACTGTGTCGTTGGATCAGTGATTGCGGTCGAGAGATCGTCAAACGTGTCGATCGACTCCTCGATTGCGTTCTCATATAAATTGATTGAACTTAATGTATGCTGTGAGCCCCGGGTTGGCCTCCAAATTGTTGATCACATTATTGAAAGCGCTTTTGAATCGGTTTAACATATTATAAGTGATAATGCATTCAATCGGTGGTAGACTTAATCGGTGGTAGACTTGTGATGGCTTTGGCGTCAAAACTCGTAGTCTTTGATTACAATCACTGAATGAGTGGAAAATATTTGAACTCTTATTTCGATATCAAAAGTGATTTGAAAATATTTTTGTTACGAAAAACATGTGATTTGTAGTGAAAATAATTGTCGCTTCAAATGAAAACAAACAATTGTCTCGTATATAGCGATAAGTGATTACAACTGATTATAACTGATTATAACGACTGCAACAACACTTGCGATGATTGTGGCGATCATTGGATGCATTCACAAGCGATCTGTGGTTTGGAAACACATTTCCAGTCAATTGGCGTCCAATTGAACACTCAGTTCAATGCAAACAGCGATTGCTTTGTAAACAAATGACTACTGAATCGATGACGTCATCAGTGAATCCACTCACTCAGTGGTCAATGCATTGCAAACACCACTGAATTGAGTGTAAAACACATTTGAAATGCCATTTCAAAGCCGTCTGTAATTAGTTTGAGTGAAAACTTATGTCAAAACTGTTGTTAAAAGTAATTTAAATTCATTATGTGTTGTGTTTGAGATGAGAGACCCGTAGACACCTCTACGCGCGAAACCATATGTCAAGAAATGGGCGTTAATTTGAACGCCAATTGAGTTAAGCATTGATTGCATTGAATGTTATAAACAATTAATTATTGATATGTTTTGCACTTTAAATGATAAACCAATGAACGAGTGATTGAACTCCGGATGCAAACCATTGAATGATAAGTCGATTGAATGGATGTGTTTGTGTCAGTGAACAGCAGTTTTGTGGCAAACATATCACCCATTGATCGCTCATTTCAATGAAAACTAATTTCTAGTCTTTTAATACACTTTTGATTCACATTTTAATTATTGTTTTGTTTTTAAGTTTGAATTTTATTTTAAATACAATTTCTATTATTTTTGAAACCATTTTGTGATAAATACCAGTGACTTCTTGTCAACCAAATGCAAATGATGTCCAAAAGTGATGACCCGAAGGGTGTGGAAGCGAACGGTGCGGACGACCAGACGGCACAACTGCTGGACGGCCGGCCACCCGATGAGCTCAAGAACTGGATGACCAATATATCGGTGACACTGCAAGACATACCCATCTGGAGGC